GTAAACATTTATAATTAATAATTAATATTACATTATAATTAATATTACATTATTTCAGTAGTCTCTTGAGGTATTCTATAGATTCATTTAAATTTTAATCCTAATATAAGTAACTTAATCAATAGTCTTTGCGTTTATTGCAAACTTCTTTCACGTTGAAAGACAAAAATTTAAACATGTAATAATAAATAATAAGAGACATCAAGCTACAATTTCCCATGTTCATTTGCGTACAAATCAGTATTAAAGGGAACATATAATAAAAAATTGCGTAAGTAGTACACATTCGGTGATTCTCCCTTATATCTATTATGTTTAACATAATTTGATTATTTTCCGAATACAATTATTTTAATGTTCCATTATTACAAGCAGTCTTTCGAATTATATTAATATTATTATATTTTTATATCATGTTGTTCGTGAGATATTAATAATTTATAGCAGAATGCTTTTAATTTATCAATATGTCACAAACAACATAAATATAAATAGTAATATAATTTGTAAAAATATTATATAACAATGTTAATAATATATAAGTAAACACTTCGAGAACAAATGGACATAATAATTTTTCATAGTTGTTAAAATATTTTCATAAAAAATGTATTTTATAGGAAATACGCATTGTGCTATTACGGCCTTGTGCAGGTAACGGTCATATGCATAATTTTAAATGCTATCTTTATGGATTTTATGAAAGGAAATTTGACATTCAAAGCATGGGTGCCATTTAACTACACATCATCCATTATATTTTTTTTCGTATTCACTCACCAAATAATAGGTATGTCAATCTGTGCGACTGTAAACGTTGCCTGTGATAGCCTGATATCCGGACTCCTGCAAGAGATTTGCTGTCAGCTTGAGATTCTGGAATACCGGTTGAAAATCTCATATGACCAACATAGTCTCTGCAATTGCATTCGTCACCATGGTCGTATATATGAGTTAGTTTTTAAAACAATTTTATTTAAAATATTTGGAATATTATCACACGCAAAATTGTCTATTTGTACGTTCTCTTCTGTAAAATTCTCATCTCAAAGTAGTTCAAAAATTATTAAATTATTTATTTCATAAAAAATGTTATGAAAGATGTTTGATAAGATTGATAAATGGCTTCCAAAGTTAAACAGCATATACAATATGAAATGGCACGTATTTAATAACAAGAATAAAAAAGCTCTGCTGCTAATCATGAGACGCTCAATGGTTCCTATTGAATTTAATAGCGCGGTTATTATCACATTGAATCTTGATTCATTTGTGTCTGTCAGTATTAGTTGATTATAAAAATGAATTTATATTTATAAATATAAATTTGCTATAAATATCAAGTAATATTAAATACTTAAAATCTTTTTACAGTTACTTAAATCATCGTATTCAGCTTACAATTTATTGAAGCACTCTCTACAGGATTAATATAGAAATTGTTATCGTTCATATTTCATAAAGCGATGTACAAGGTATGTTAAAAAATCAGTTAAAAAGTATATTAAATAAATATATTAACATATCGTTGATATAAATATATACTACTAAGTTATTTTTAAACAATATATCAAATGTTTGCGGAAGTACATGCTTACATTAGTATGTGCTTTGATTTATGGTGTAAGAAAAGGTAATAATAGGTATATGTGCTTAGGACGAGAAACAAAGTTAAAATGATATTACAAGAAGTTTGTATTAACAATAGACATATTTAAATTATAAGGATTTTGTTTCAAACTTTTCCGAGATATTTCTATTCAATTTCTATTATTCCTCCTTACAAATATTTATTGCGTTAAAATTGTTTATTGATACTTTATTATAATTAATCATCATATGAATCATAATATGAAAATAACGTTATAACACATCATACACTTATAGATCACGCCTTCTTAAGAGCTTGTGTGACAAGACTAAAAAATAGCTATATTCATTGTGTTCTCAGGCATACTGTACTCGCTCAGAAAAAAGAAGATATAGGAATATAACGAAAACATAGTAAATATAAAACTGAGTACATGAACTGTCATCAATATTAAGATTTTATAGAAGTAAATTGCAACTAATGATTCGTTAACTGATATTCAAAGCGATATGTTTAAAATTGTAGACAACACAATGGAAAGTAATAAATATAATATTTTGACGGAATAATATATACCGAGGAATCTATATTGAAGTATTCTGCAAATAGTTAATGACTAGTAATTTATTGATTATTCAAAGAATTTATTTCTCTCCATATATCAGTTTTCCTTCTGTTTTGCTGTCTTTATGAAAATAGTATATTATACATCTAATAGAACATATATATCGAAAGAATCTCGCATTTTCACTCGTGAAAATATTATTTCATGGGATATCATTGTAAGTTGCATGTATGGATATTACAATAATAACAGCAGAGGTACATCGGAGAATACGTAATGAATAGTATCATTATCAGAAAGTTGCGAGACATTCTACAGACATTCCGAGTTTTTCTTTCTTTCAAATCTTATCTATTTTCGTTTAAGACGCAACAAGAGCTTAAATAATGCCTTTAAAAATTACATGAATAGTTTAAATTAACTTAAAAGTGAAATATTAAATAAACGTAAGTAATTCACGATGCAAAAGGATTTTTGTATAAAAAAGTAAATGCGTTGTAAAAATATTATATTAAAAGCTAAATATAAAAAAATTAAATTTTATTAGTGGTTTCAAATTAATATTTATTAACTTAATAAATTATCTTTGTAAATATAAATTCCTCTCATCAAAATTTAATCAAATCAAAATCTTAATCAAAATTTAACAATATCAATTTTTTTATTAAATATCTTTAGTTAAGCTATAAATTATACCATGGAAAATATACTTATAAAATAAATAAAATATATTTCAAGTAGAATTTTATTAAACAAATTAAAAAATAAAATTTTAATTTCTTTTGTACTCCTT